CCCGAGTGTCTCTGCTGGGGAGGGCTGCTTGTTTCAGGGCTCCACCCTTTCACAGCTTCCACACTTGGAGGGGCCAGCTGAGCTGTGTTGGGGGTCTTCACCTGGGCGGGGCTCAGTGGGGAGATGTCAGAGCTGGCCTGCCTCTGCAGGGCAGTAGGACGTGTTGGAGAGTCATGTCCATGTCCCTGCTGGGCAGGAACCAGGCAGGAACCGAGCAGGAACCGGGACATCGTTTCCAAGCAGTGACTGCAGAGAGTTCTCAGGACAAAAGTTCTGGCTCTTGACGTTTGTTCCAGATTCCTGGTTCTGTGGGGTGACGAAATGTGTCTGAGGAGATGGTGCAGGGAGGTGGGGGATGGGCCCCCAAAGCCCCCGTTCAGTATCAGGGACAGTGGTTTCTCCTTCTTGCTGGTGCAAGTCCATTTGGACACTCTTAGGGGTGCTTTTTAAAAAATTGAGGGGTCACTGATTTACAACATTGTATTAGTTTCAGGTGCACAGCATAGTGATTCAAAATGTTTATAGATTACACTCCATTTGTAGTTATAGAATATTGGCCATATTCCCTGTGCTGTACAATATATCCTTGTAGCTTATTTATTTTATACATAGTCGTTTGTATCTCTTAATCTTTCCCCTATTTTTAGGAGCTCTTCTGTGCGGTCTTCTGAGATGGAGTTTAAGGTGGTGGTTAAGGGCCACGATCCCTCTGCTCGAATTGCCGAATCAGCTGCCGTCTCCTGAGCTGCGGATGCTTGTGCTTTCCAAGGGCCGAGATGCTCAGCCAGCCCCTCCCCACCCCCACCTCCCCTGGGTCTTGGATGGGCAGGGTGAGCAGGAGGTGAGGAACTGGGTGGCTGGTGCTTGTCTCCAGGGCTGTGCAGGGGTCCCGGGGCCGAGGGCCGGGCTCACCTTTTACAGCCTCTGAGCCCCATGCAGATCATAGTCACTGTCGGAGGAGTTATCAGGCTGGGTGGAGACCCGATGCAGGGCCCCTTCCAGAGCTGCGGAAAGAAAGGAGGCCACTTGCAGCCGGGTTGTCCCTCCAGGCTACACAGAGAGAGCCCTTAGAGCCAAGAGCCCCGCAGGGGTTGGAAGATCACAGAGGCTTTCTGAGCTGGTGGCTCAACAGCCCTGGATCTGTTGTGATGGAATCAGCTAGTGTCCACTAATGATGCTGAACTCCGGGCTGCCTGGGGCTTAATTGTCAGCACCAGTCAGGGAGTATTCGATACAGGGCTCTGCGGGCCACTGATGGATGGTTCTGTTCTGCCTCAAAGGAATTCAAGGGGCCTCATTTATTGTGAAACAGGCCCTTTCAGTCACAGCAGTGCTGAGGTTAATGGCATCCCGCATGTTCCTCTCTCTAGCTGAGCGGCCTGTTAAGCTGTATCCCTTCCACACCCTGCGGTGACTGGCTGTCAAAGGGGCAGTTTGATCCCCTCCACCCCCCACCCCCCACTGTTCCCAACACCACCATCCCCTTGCAGCCTCCCTTCTCTTTCCGAGCAATCATGTGGCCCTCTGCTTCTCCCTGCCTTCGTTCCTAGGAGTGCCAGCCAGTGCTTACCTGGATAGGCTGAGATTTGGGAGTTCCTCGGAGGCTGACTATATTCATTCTCCACGTGGGAGGCCGTGGGGTTCTCCACCTGGGTCCGGACGGTCACCGTGTGGTTGCGATGGAAAGACACTGAGCAGGAGACGGGAGTGTCATTAGACTTGCTGCTCTGTCCTCCTCTTCCTCCTCCCCAACAGTGGCCCAGGACTCAAAATTCCTCTTCCCACCATGTAATGGGGGTGGTGTGGGAAGCAAGGGCCCCAGAGATCTTTCAATGCATTTCTTTTTCCATTTCTTCCTGGGGAGTCTCATTCTAGCAGGGCTCAGAGTTTTAGAGCAGCTTTGGATTGGCTTGCAAGCTGATTGGCTGGTGGGCCTTCAGTCAGTTGGTCAGTCAGTCAGTCAGTCATCAAACATTTATCAAGCAAGGGATTGGAACACAAGTGATAGGACAGATACGGTCCCTGACCTCCTGGAGCTGAGGGTCTTTATATTGTAAGAAAGACTTCACAACATACAGCCTTCCTGAAGGATCTGGCCCTTGACATGTGAAGCAGGGGAGAATGTGGACTGGAGGCAGGGGGAGGGCTGTGGCCAGAAGGAGAGGGGGGTGGAGAACACGGGTGGGGGTTGGGCTGGCTGCATCAAAAGGTTTTAAAACTGGCTTCTTAAAGTTGCTCCATGATAAAGATGTTCCACGGTAAATCTAGCTCGAACAACCCGTTAAGAAACATATGCCCACTCCAGAGATGAACAGTGCAAAAATGCCAATGAAGGTTCTGATAAGTCCTGAAGTAAAGAATCATGTCTGGCTTGCTGAACTCATCGATTCCCACACCCTTTGGATCATGGAGTCCCCTTTTCCGAGTGCCACCTGTTCACACCTGTGGCCAGAGCCACATTAGACAAGCATGGTGGAGATCAGAGGCTTCAAGCAGCCACTGCACTGGCTCCATCTGTGGTCAGCGGTGACTTGTGACCCTGCTCCACGGCCTCCTTCCTCAGCCTGGGGGACACTGGCTGGGGCCAAGGAAGGACCCTGCCTCTGGGGATACTTACTGTTCTGATTCATTCCCGTTGGGCCAATCCACTGACGCTGCTTCTTCTGGCGGACTGGGCGACAGACAGGAAAGACACATCAGGATAGGGGTTAGGGAGAGGGGTCGAGTGAGGGAGGGGTGGGGCTGGGTGGGGTGAGTCAGAGAAGGAGGGAGGAGGCAGCAGGTGCATGCTAAGGGGCTGGTTCTCCTGGAGAGAATTCTAGAACCAGACTTAAGACCTGAGAGGGCGCCAGGGACCTCGCCAACCCTGCCCACCTCTGGGCTTTCTCCTTCCGGCCTCTCCCGCCTCACTTTCTTGTCTCTGAATGATTTTCTCCTGAGTTCTGCCAGGCCAGGGGAATACCCTCTACATTCGCAAGGTCTCCCATCGCCCAGTTGTTGCTGGAGGAAATCAGCTCAGAGAGGAAGTGGTTCAATCTGCTGGTAGGTGGTGGGGCCTGGCCTGGGACTTGTGTCTTCTGAGATCAGAGTGGGGGCTGATGACCCCCTTGACCCACCCAGGTCTAAAGGATGGCCACGCCCTCCCTTCAGCCTGGAGTGGGTCCCAGCTGGGCTCCAGATGTGGGCTTATCAGGGATTTTCCTGACTTTCTGTTTGTTCCTCTGAGCAGAGAAGGGCCTGGGAGGGAGGGGGGACAGGAGAGGGGCAGGACTGGCTGGTGAGCAGGGGTGCTGGCAGCCGGCTCTTGGAGGTGGGACCCCTCTGAGTGCAGCCCGCCCAGCCTCCCCACGCGGGGCCTTGAGAGGAATGTGATCTGGGGCACGGACACCTACATTTCTTCACCAGCTTCTTGTAGGCGAGAGGGCCGCACACAACCAGCAGCACTGCCAGCAGCACGAGGGCCAGGATGATGCTCATCACGGTGCCGGCGCCCAGGCCTGCCGGGCTCGAGCTCTGGCCTGCGGGAGGCAGAGGGGTTAGGTCATTCCGGCCTGGGAGCTCTGGAAACTATCCATCAGCGGGAAGCTGCGGGCCGGCCTGCTTCCCCAGTAATTCACCAGCAAGTGCGGTATCTGGCTCTCTCTCCACCCATCTCTGAAATTCTCTGCTGCACAGTCATTTATCCATGATTTACTATCTAACAATTGATCATCCGGATGGCTATCGTTTGCTACCCCTGTTTTCAACTCTGTAACTTTCTACCATTAGCCAGTTGCTTATAAGTGATCACCTTGCCATCACATACCAGTATAAGACTGTATACCAGTAGCCAGCCAGCCATTTCTCTCTCTCTCTCTCTCTTTTTAATGGAGGTACTGGTGATTGAACCCAGGGCCTCATACATGATAGGCATGCGCTCTACCACTGAGCTGTTACCCCCGCCCCTCGTTTCTCTCTCTCCTGTGCTATTCAGGTACCACTAGTGCAGCGAATGAGCAGCACCACTCCCTTGCTTTTCTGTCTCCCATCTGGAAGATAGAAAATGGAATGAGAGTCCTGTCATTCATTAGCTGCCTAACAGTTACGGCCAGTCTCCCCTTTATGGTTCATGCTCGTTGCTGTCTCAGCACTCTCGTCCCCTCCCCACCCCTATTTGTCATTTCCCCACACTTTCCTGGGTCTCCGGGGCTCTCTGTTTAGTGCCCTGGGCCTGCTCTTCAGAAAAGGGCTCATTGACTGAGTCCTAGAAGGAAAATCCAGAACCGCCCTCCAACCACCATGGCCTGTGGCCAACTCACATGTGACAAACACCCTCTTGCAGTGGGATTTTCTCTCTAGAAGCTGGTGGCACTGGGACAGCTTCCCTGAGGGACAGAAGAGCCCCTGGGAGGTCTTCTCGGTGGCATCCAGCACCTGGTAGGAGCTGACGTTGCCGCACTGCTGCTCCTGGCACACCTCCTCCCACCGTGCTGCCGCGCCCTTGGCCGAGGAGCTGTCGCACAGGGGATCCCACTGCTTGCCGTGGCGCACCTCCACGGCGCCTTCACACGAGCTGCTGCCCCCAACCAGGCGACTCTGCACCTTGGGCTGGAAATCTGGGGGGAAAGCAAGGGGAGGTGAGGTGGTGGGCTGGGCGGGAGTTCCCTGGGCCCTGTGGCACTGGCAAAGTGGGGACCCTGGCAGGGCCCAGCTCTCGGGGGTGGGGGCGGCAGGGCACCTTGTGAGACCACCTTCCTTTCTGCCTTTTCCTTCTTCTGACATCCTTTCCTGCATTTCCCCCATCAAGCTCTGTCCCTGGGCCCCCTGCACAGCTGCAACAGCTCTGGCACTTTCAGTGAAGGGGCCGGCAGGTGGCAGTGCCCCTCGGCAGCCACCTGCAGGGAGTCAGCCTCTGCCCAGGGGCAGGAAAAGATGAGCCGTGAGGAATCGGCTCCACCTGGATCCACTTTTCTCCTGGGAACATCCTCTCATTCTCTTGCTTCCCCCTCAGGAGGAGGAAGGGCTTTTCAGAAAGGGGAAACAGAGGTCTGGGTGGGGGGAAGTACCTCCTGCTCTGAGTCCTGGTGACTCATGGATGGGACAGAACCCAGGGGTCCACTGCCCAGGCCTTGAGCCTTGAAGGACAGGCTTTCATAAAAGGGCCTGGCCCAGTGGAGACTGAATTCATTTCTGCTTGACAGGGTTGGGCCTGGAGGCCCACACGTGCTCAGGTTAGAGTGAGTTGTGATCTCACCAGCTTTGGCCAATTTCTATAGCAACATGCATCTTCAAAGCCCTAGTATATCTCCTATTTAGGAAAAAAAAATCAAAAGCAAGACCTCTAGGTTTGGTTTTGCAGGTTAGAGCCTGCAGAGGCCTCCTAGCAGAAGGGTGGGTGGGCCTGAGAGCCAGCCAGATTTTCCTCTCCTCAGGCCAAGAGATCCTTGGGGGCTGCTTCTGCCTGGAGACCGTGTGGTGACTGACTATCTGGGGATGCCCATGGGTCTTGGCCGGGCCCCACTCACCAGTACAGATGAGGCCAAGAGCTTGGCCGCCTGCCTGGGGCTGGATTTTTCGGAAGCACTGTTCTAGGGAGGCACAGCGTGTGTTCTGGATTTTCCATCGGATTGGCAAGGGCCCGCTCTCTCCAGCCTCTAGTGCCCTGGTGGCCTCGGTCTCCGGCAGATGCTTCAGGAAAGAGCCACACTGGAGGGCTGCACAGATGCGGTTCCCCAGGTCCTGGGTCCCATCCTGGGACTCGATGCTGATGGTGCCACCCAGGCTGCCTCTGTAGAACTCCACCACGCCGGCACAGCGCAGGCCCCCGGGACCTGCCACCAGCTGCAGCCTGGGAGGAGCTGGGGGAAGAGAGGCATGGGGGAGAGCGGAGCTGAGCACTGATGACCAGCCCTGGGGCCTTCCTTGCTCAGTGGCTCTAACACATGGACTAGCCGACAGCCCTGGGATATGGTAAGGTCCCAAATATTGTGTAGAACATACTTACACTAAAACTTTTCATTCTTATCTGAAAGTCCAGTGTAACTGCACATCCTGTGTTTTCACTTGCTAAATCCAACCCCCGACCCCCAAGGCCCTCAGAATCTTTTTACCTGTCGGCTCCGGCGTGGTTGTGGGCGGGGGGCTCGTGGGAGGAGGCGTCGTCTTCTGTGGCTCTGCAAATAGACACTCTGGTTAGAGAGGAGCTGGGGACCCTGGGAGGGACGAAGGAAGAGATGGGGGTGTGCGGAGAGCTGGGGGCAACTGGCAGTGTTGAGAAAGACCCAGAACTCAGGATGCAAGCCCCCTCGGCCCGCACAATGTCTCTCAGCCTCCTATGAGGCGGGGAGTACCAGCTCGTTTTACAGTTGGGAAAACAGAGGTTGAGAGAAGTTAGCAGTTGGCAGAACCAGATCCTCAACTTTTTCCATCTTACCAGACAGGTGCCGGCACCCCCTCAGCCTGCCCCCTCCAGTTCCCCACCAGTGTATGTTTCTGAGGGGGTGGTTGTAAATCCTGGACCCTTTCCACCTGCCTGCTCAGGCTCCAGGTCACAGGCCCTGGGCTGTCTCCTTGAGGCTGGCGCCAAGCCCAGGGAACCCCCGTGGCCAGCTAGTTACTCACCTAAGCAGATCAGGGCCAGAGGTTCTGGCCAGTTTGTCCTGGAGCTCAAGCTGCAGTTGGAGAAGGACCCCACTTGTCCATGGCAAGTGATCTGACCCAGGAATGTCTTCCTTGTGAGGTGACGGGAGTGGGCGAGGAACAAGGGCTCCCCGCATTGCAGCTGCCGGCAGAGCTTTGAGGCCCCGGCGGAGTCCTGGCGGGACGGGCTCAGGCCCCAGCTCTGGCTGTGCACCATGTACCACGTGCCCTTGGTGTTGACCTCCAGCTGGCCCTGGCACCGCGAGCCGGAACCGCTGAGTCTCACATTGGGCTCTAGGGGGTCAAAGAGGTGAGGGTGGGGGTCAGGTGGGAAAGGGCCTTCCATGAGGTCCCCTCGCTGCACCCTCCCCGCCTGGCGCCCACACCCAGGGAGGCTCCCTCTGCCCACGCGCTGCCTGCTTGGCTTCTCCTGTGAGCTTCCCCTGGGGCCCTGCAGGGTCTTCCCAGAGACTCGGGCTGGTGCTGCTCCTGCCCTAGGTGGTCTCTTGAAACCAGGCCTAGGAGGATGGGGCTGGAGACCCCAGAGCCCAGGGGAACTTGGAGCAGTGAGCTAGGGGTTCTCGGCACCCACCGTCCAGCAGAATCGCCCCACTCCTGGAAATTCTGTTTCAATAGATCCCGGATAGGGCCCGGTGCCTGATTGGGTTTTTACTCTTTAACTTGTAAATTCAATGTTATAGGGTATTATTTACATTCAGGCAAAGGCACTCATCTTAAGGGCACTTGTTCAGTGGAAGATGACAAACATACACATGCCTGTGGCCACTGCCACCCTCTAGACAGAGAACGTCCCCATCGCCCGGAAACTTCCCTCACACCCTTTTGTAGTCAGTTTCCCTGAATCCGGCCTCAGGCAACCACTGATCTGCTTTCTGTCACTTGAGATGAGTTTTGCCCATTCTCACATGTTACAGAAGTGGGCTCGCACAGCAGGTGCAGTCTCGCTAGAGCTGGGAGCTAGGCTGCCATCACAGGGTTCCAGGTCCTGGCTCAGGGCCCATCAGGGCCCCTGTGGCCCCTTCACTTTGCACCGTGGCTTCATGGGACCCTCCTGCCACATTAATCCTCAAATACATTCAGCATGATGTTATCTCAGGAAATGTAAAAAAGAGAGGTCTGTGGTCAAATGAGTCTGGGAACTGCTGAATTTGAAAATGCTTAACAGAGTTCCTCGCTGGAGGACTTCTCAGTGCTTCTACCTGGCCTGTGCACCCCAACAGTCTGCAGGGGGTGAGGTAGTGCCTAACCTGGGTCCAACGAGTTCCATGGAACCCTGTCTGGGAAACACTAGCCTCTAGGCTGAAAGTCCACCCCTCAAAGGCAAGACATTTAACACACTTTACAGTCTGGTGCAGCCTCTCTCTGCAGCCTCAGCTGCAAATGTCTTTGACCAGGGAGCATCTGGCAGGACTGGGTAGGAAGCAAGACTTTGCAAGGTGCATTTACGGGCCAGTCTGTTTTCTGTGCCTGGTGAGTGGGTGGTAATAATAATTATCAGGAGAGCTAGCATTTGTGTGGTGCTTTATGGCCATCGAGGGCATCGACTTGAAATGGGCCTCTTAAGTGGGTGTGCATGCGTGTGCATGTGCACATGTGCATGTGTGTGTCGGAGCCCTCTCTCTCTCTCTCTCCCCAACTCCTCAGGGTGGATTCACTCTGACAGAGGGATGGCAGGTCCCCCTACAGCCTGGTGGCATCACAGCCCTGCTCCATGCCCCTTTCTCTGCGTGGCTCTTCCTTACCTGACTCCTCCAAGTTGAGCCCTCGGAGGCAGGAAATGACTGCGGAAAGGAAAGAGGACGTCAGGAAATGAAGTATGTCCCCCACTCCCTTCTCCACCCGCCCCCCCCCACCGCCTCCTCACTACCCACAGCCTGATCAATGGCCTTTTCCGCATCCGGCCGCCATCACCCACCACGGGGTTCAGGGGCAGGGATTTTCATCCTACAAGTCGGAACACCTAGGGGGTCAGGAAATCAATTTAGTGCAAGGCAACCATCACTTCTCTTTCTTGTTTTAAAGCTTTACTTTTTAAACAAACATGCAGTAAAATTGATTTTCCCTTAATGCACAATTCTATGAATATTAACACACATATAGGTCTGTGTAATCACCATAACAAACGAGGTGTACGACAGCCCATCACCCCCCCAAATTTCCTCATGCTGTCCCTCTGCAGGAACATGCAGCATTGCAACCATCAATTTTTAAAAATTATGTGATAATGCAACCATCCATTTTTTAAAAACGAAATGGGGTAGAATAGAGAATGTCAGAATGCATCATGTCTTGTGACGGTAAGGCTCACTTTTTGTGCTTTGGATGGTGGTATAAAAATCTCCTGAGTGTTGTTTTCAATCAAAAAAAGCTTGGATGTCATGGTTCTAGAGAGCTGAGAAATGAGCCAGAATGGGAATCCAGGACAGCATTGGTGCTTTCTAGAATTCCCAAGGCTGGATAAGAATGATAGCAATTTCCCTTTAACAGCTCCCAGTTCTAGATGAGGAAACGGAGCTCAAAGAGGCAAAGGGACTTGCCCATGATAACGTGGCCAGTTGGTGAAGGAGCCCAGTGAACGCGGGTCTGGGGGTAACTGGCCTCCCCTCTGGCCTGGCTCCTGCCTGTGCCACTTTGATAGGAATGGGAGCCATGTGGGACGTTCCGCCTCCTCCCAGCCCCTCTGTGCAGCGGGGGCCCAGTGGCTCCTTGCCGGGCTCTTGGCTGAGCAGCCTGTGGCCGGCTCACGTGTGGCAGGGGCAGAAGTTTGATTTGGATGGGGATGCGGTGGGGTGGCAGGCTTGCATGGCCTCAGAGCACCCCCCCCCAAGTTTGTTGCGTGGCTTTCTCGGTCACAGAGCGGGTGTTTTGGTTTCCATCTGCCCCCTGGGCTGGCTTCTCAGCTGGGATCTAGGGATGGCATCTGGTCAGGGTGACCACTTTATACAGTAAAGGGCTGTGTTTAAGTTGCTTTTGAGAAATTGTTGCTGGGTGTAAAAAGCCCATTTTTCCCTGCGTGTTCTGAAGCTGGTGGTAGAATTTTAAGGGGAGAGGTGAACCAGCCAACCTGCCGTCTCCCCGCAACCAAGACGCCTTATAACGAAGCCGTGGCCTGTGGTAAGTTTTGTCTATCTTGGCAAGAGCCCACCATGGTGGCCCGGGGAGTCCTGGGCCTCGGAAGGAGAAGGCTTTTCCTACGCAGAGGGAGTGTGGGACTTAGAGCAGAGGCCAGAGCTCTGGCCTGGGTTGGGAAGGGGTTGGCCAACTGTCAATCATCTGCTCTATTGCAGCCTTGGAGGACATGGTGGAGATGCCCGGCTAGCTTGGTGAGAGAGAAGGCAGGAGGCTTTGTCCCTCCCTCAACTCTCACCCCTGACTTCTCATTCCCACTTCCCTCTGGTCCCACATCCCCATTGTGAATGGTACTGTCTACCTTTAGTGATTCATTTATTTGGCTAAGCCCTGAGGGCTGAGGCAGCTTGAAGTGGCCAAAGATCCACCCTTTGGCGCTGTGTGACGCAGGGCAGCTTTTCGGGCACTGATGCCTTTCGCTGGATCTGAGTACCAGCTCTGCCACTTCCTACCTGAGGGCCCTGGAGTGCAGTCTCTTAGCCCCCCTGAGCCTCAGTTTCCTCATCTGCAGCATGGGAGCAAGAAAGGGACCAACTTGATAGCAATGTCATGAGGATGAGATGAAATAATCTATGTAGAGGACTTAGCCCTGTGCCTTCCTGGCCTGTGTTCAGTCCTCAGAGCTGGTGTTACTGGTTGAGGAGCTGGCTGGGCCCCGGGGCAGGGGTGGTGGGGCTGCAGGCCTGCTCAGGAGTTTCCCCAGCAGGAGGGATCCCTGTCTGGATCCTTGCAGAGCCAGGTCACAGGGCTCACCACTTCCCTTTCCCACTAGGACCTGCATATTCCCAAAGTCACCACAGTCAACATTCATTAACGGCAGCTACCAATTATTGACCACCTACTGTGTACTCAGCCTCCCAGGGGAGGGGTCATTACAAATATCATTGTTCATCTTCCACACGGCCCCCCAACACGAGCTGAATATGTTCACGGTGTAGATGTTGGTAGAAGGCGAGTGCCCTGTCCAGGGTGACAATGCCAGCCACTGGCAAGGCCTGGATTTGAACCACGATTTTGCCTTCCAAACCCATGCTCTCTGCTCTCTGCCACCCAATGGGGCCTCCAAAGTCCCAAGTTTGGGAATGCAGAAATGGACATGACCTAGACCCTGACCCTGTGGTTCTGGAACTCCCAGACCCTGACGCCCCCAGGGCACGGACTGGGCCTGACCGGCCTTGCAGATCTCACCCAGAACAGCCAGGCCCTGCTCAGAGAATGTTCTCAGGAAAAGACTGCACAGCCCGGGAACCGAGAAAAATTCTGGAGAAGAAAATGCTCTGTGGAGAAAAGGCATCTATGCATTCCAGGGCTTTGCCTCCCTCTGGGAGCTTGACTGGGCTCAGGTCGGCAGCACCAACACCATCACTGTCACCGTCACCATCACCAACATTGTCACCGTCACCAGCGCCATCTCCATCACCATCACCATCATTAACACTTATAGTCTGCACTCTTTCCCTGGCATTTTTGCACAGTAACTCTCTTAGACTTCACTACTTAGACTTCACACTGTTATTTTGACCACCATTTTATAGAAAAGGAAACAGAGTAAGTAACTTGCTAAGCAACTGGTGAGTGCTGGGGCCAGGACTCTGAGCCAGGCCATGTGGCCCAGAGTCTGTGCTTTTGACTGATGGGCCCAGCTGCCACCCTTTCTTTCAGAGGGACGGCTGCGACAGCCTGCCCTGTGTGCCACCAGTTCCTGCATGTTCCTGGCGTGCACGCCTGATGAAAGGGGGTGAACTTGGGATTCCGTTCAGTCAGTGAAACATGCTGTGGGAAGACGTTTCCAGGAATCTGCTGTGCGATCTTGGCAAGCCACTCAACCTGTCTGGGTTTGGTCTCTTCGTCTATAAAGTTAGATTCCACCATCCCTCACCTTTCTTTCAACTCAAACTTCCAGGGTCTATAGTCTTAGTTCCTGATGCATCTCAGCAGCTGGCAGGCGTGGGCAGGTGAGATGTGTAACTGACTGGGAGGCTTCCTGGGTGCTGCGTCTTCCTGTCTGTCCAGGGATCTGTTCAGGTTTTGATTGCCCACGACTTATTTCCATTCTTTCAGCTACTTCTTATGGGGCTCAGACCAACATCCTCCTTCCCCTGAGCCCTGCAGCCTGTGCTTGGGGTCCCTCTGACCACCCCCTCCCTGGCTACAACTTAGCCCAGCCCCTGCATGGAGTCCAAGGCCCAGGGATCTGCTGCTGCAGAATCTGCAAACGGAAGCCTGGGGACCCTCGAGACCACGAGGGACACGAGGCACGGACGCATCGCGCCATTTCGCAATCCATCATCAGCAACTACACCTGGAGCAGTAGGGGGCCGGCCCCCAACCCTGCCCTGCCAAACTCTCCTGGGAGGCCCCGCTACTTAGGGCTTAGACTAGCCAAGCCAGGGAAAGCTCAGGGCCAAAAAGGCCAGAGTTAGAAAGCTTTTTCATTCTCCGTGAGACCCTCTCCACATCTCTACCTTGGCAGAGATTTAAACGTTGACCCTACCTGCCCTGATGAAGCCTCAGCGAGGAGTAAATTAATTCCTGAAAGCAGCTCTGAGACATTTGCATACACATTCCCTCCCTCCCCTCTCCTCTTGCGCCCCCCCCCATTCCAGATGGTTCTAACTTTGGATCTCTGGACAGCGACCCTGCCGGCCCCATCAGGCCACGAGTGAGTTTTATTTGCTCTGCGCAGTGTTCACATCTTTTTTTGAGTCCATTGTTTTTAAAGCTTTCTTTTGGTTTTGTTTTGCTTTAAAAAACCCCCAAGATCCAGATGTTTTTGAAAAACACTATGCTTTGGCCACATGGGGCTGCACTGCCGTGAGCCCCAAGGTTTCGGCCTGTTTTGTCCTGGCTTGCCAGCACCCTCGGGACCCCACCCCCATCACCCTGTGTCTGGAGAGCCTCATCTTCAAACACATGATGGTTTCTGCAGTGGAACGTGAGGAATTTTCACATGGAGTGGGATGCGCAAGATTATAAATAGTCTCCTACTCATTCAGGTCGGGATTTTGCACTGTATGCAGTTTGTCCAAAATTTGCAAACGGGTTTTGGGTTTCGGAATTGCAGATGAATGTTGGTGGACTTGTATTATGGATCCCATTTTACAGCAGAGCCAGAATTTGGCCCAGGCTGCAGGCTTCAGAGCCTATATCCTTGATGCCCGACTCTGACTCACTCTGGGGTCTGCCTGGACCAGTGAGGATCTGAGCCCGCAGCTCCCACACACTGGGAAGTGGAGGCAAGAGAGTGGCCTGCTGAGGGCCCAGCGGGCATCGAGATCCCACTGTCACAGGGCTGGGACATTCATTGAGTCTCACTCCGTGCAGACCCCCGGGCGAGGCTGTTTTACGGGAGACCCCGCTTCTTCCTGACAGGCTCAATCAGAGAGACTGTCATCATTCTGTTTTCCAGATAAGGAAACCGACAGACTGATTTAATGCGGTTTGGAAGTCAGACGAATCATTGTTTCCATTAACAGTGATTCCCTCTAATGGTCCATAAGATTCTCATCGATTTACCGCAAACATGATATGCCGACTGTCTTTTGGGGGCATTCTGGATTGTCCTTCCCTCATCCTCTGATGAGAGGCTGAC